GATTGTAGGAAGTCAATTCTCACTGTAAACTCGGATTAACAGAAACAAACCAAACAAAATAGTGGCCCCTAATTCCTATCTCCAAGAATTGCTTTGTGCCATTTTGAATTCAGGTAGTTATGCTGTATATACTTAGAAGACTATTCCGAACTTCTTCAATCTCTAGGAAGTTTGAAGGGGTATTTGGGAAGACACAGGGCAGGGTGACTTTGAGAGATCCCTGCGCATGCATGAAAACAAAAATAGGGATAAGCCAGAACGATGTAACATCCAAATTTGTGGTAGATGAAGAATCGGTGGAAATTCTTAATTGCACAGACTTTATAATCCATAATACAAAGTGTAATTCCATACTTTTTACTGTGGCAAGGGTGTGTTGTGGTGTTAACCTTTTTAATTTTTGAATCCAAACTGAATTTAAGGTGTTGAATATTTAAATTCCTCACAAGCTAATTATGAACCATTTGTAAAGTGTTTCTATAACTCTTTGTATCATGTGTTAGTACATCTTATCAAGTTTTTTCTGGCATGTATTCCATTCTAAATTTCTGTAAAATTTCTATTGTTGCTGTAAATATTATACAAATATCTATTCCGTGGTAACCTTAATTATCAGCATGAAATGGTTAATTTTTACTGAGCACAATGTATTTTTGAATGGACCTTCCCAAATGTCTTTAATAAAATGCAGATTTTGCACTGACTGAAGTGATTGCCAGGCGTCCCAATCCTGAGCACTGTTGTCCCTCACAGGTTTGAACAGCACGCAGCACAGCAGTTAGTTCCTTCTTTGTAAAGAACTCATTTGAATGCAAATGAGGGATAATGGACCTTTGAAGGTAGAATCAGTTTAAGGGACTGAAATTAATGTAAAGCGGGGCAAATCCTGTTATTTAATGATGGTGATAATTTTTTTGTATTTATAAAGCTTTTTTCCCCTTCTGGCATTTTGAAAACTGGTTTCTTTTACACTTGAGTGTTGTCTCCTTTGCACGTTGCGAGACGCTCACTTGATGGTTTGGGGAGGGTGGGCAGAGATGCCTCCTGCTCAGTGCAGTGGGGAAAGGAAAGATGGACAGCTTAATAAGGATTTCTCCGTGTTTTAGAGCAGCGGGTTGGCAAACTCTTTCTGTAAAGGACCAGATAATAAATATTTGAGGCTCTGTGGGCAAAGGGTCTCTAACTAAACTCTGCCATTGTAGTGCAAAGGCAGCAGAGGCCATATGTAATGAAAGGGGGGTGTCTGTGTTCCTAGAAAACTTTATTTAAAAAACAAACAAACAAAAATGGCTGAGTGCCAGATTTACTGGCCTGTTCTAGGCCTTCACTTTTGTCTTTAAGGCTAAGAAGACCAACTGAGTAAATGCTCAATCAGGGGGGAAAGAACTTAAATATCTAAATACGCTTGATCTTTCTAAACAAAGGATAGGAGCTAAAACCTAGTGCCTTGCATTCTTAAAAGTACTGTATCACCAACTTCTTTGCCCCAAGTTTCTCCTTTAAGTCATGGAAACCTATGATTTCAATTATACTTTTTATCAAGACTGAATCACAGTATCTGCAGCTTGTAATTTTTTTTATATTCATAGCACTTACTATGGCCCGGCACAATGCCAAGTGTTCTACTTTTATTATTACAATACTTTTCACAACAACACAGTGAAGCAGGTCGTATCCCCATTTTGTAGATAAGGAAACTGAGGTCTGTGGACTTGACATTAACTTGCCCAAGGTCAGCCAGCTAGGATTTGAAGCCCAGTATGTTCACTGTAAAGCCCATACCCTTAAACACTTAAACGGTGCAGTCGCTGTGTCTCCACGTATAAAAGCCGACGTGGGGTTCATAACACGGGTGATTCATGGACCACCTTTCCTCCCATCTCCCAGCAGGTGGTAGCTGATTTGATTTGAGAATAGAACATTTCGTTGAAATGAGTCACTAGAGGTCCAGAGACTGGTGAAGTGGCTATAAAAGCACAGGATCTAGCGGCAGATTGCCTGAGTGGAATCCTAGCTCCATCACCTACGTCTTGTGGGGCTTTAGACAAGTTACTTAACTTTTTTTTTTTTTTAAGCTGAGCCATCCTGCCACCTGTTGGCTGCTCAGCTCGGGCCGGGAATCGAACTGGCAACCCTGTTGCTCAGAGCTCGCACTCTTGAGCTCTTAACCAACTGAGCCACTAGGCCGGCCCTGTTACTTAACTCTCCTATGCCTCAGTTACCTTGTCTTTAAGTGGAAATAATAATAGGACTTACCTCATAGGGTGGTTGTGAGGATTTAATGAGATGATAACCTGCAAAGCACTTGAGAGATTCTCAATAAGTATTAGCTCTTACAACATTATTGCTATTATTTGTGCCCCAGTTGGCAGTCCTATGAAGTTGAAAAGGAATGTCACTGAATCTTGACTGCCAGTTATAACAAGCTCATTAAGCACTTTAGATACATGTATCCTATTTGATCTTCACATCAGCCCTGTAAAGTTGTCTAGGTTGGGAACCACCATAGCTTGGAGTTACTTAGTGCTTGGAGCTACTCTTGGGATCCCTGGGAAAGCAACAATGCTTGTAGCTGTGCATTTGTCAGCAGGCCTCAGCAACCACGCTCTGGGTGGACAAAAAGATGCTCTTCTGTCAGCGTCTGTTCAAAGGCTCACTTTAAGGATGCAATCTTCTGGGTTCTGCAACTGGATTCATAGCAGTACCTCTATTTTAAATTACCTTTGCTTCGTCCAAGTAACCTCCTCCCACACTGAATACTAAAATCAGCTCAGACTTTATCTTGGCAACGCTTAATGCTACTTTTTTTGTTCATAACATTTAATTTAGTTGTTTAAAAACCTCCTGCAATATGTTATATTTTTACACAATTAAAAAAACAATCTCCTGCAAGTGTAGACCACAACTCTAGCATTTCTGAAGATAAAAGTAAACATGTTAACGTAAGGTAAGAGAAATGAGTTTTTGCTACACTGTATATTTTTAATTGGAAGTTTCCCCCACAAAAGAAATAATACTGCAAGCAGCCGAAATAGCTCAGTTGGGAGAGCGTTACACTGAAGAAATAATACTGCAAACATAGTTCATGTGTTTAGTAGCAAAATTCTGTTACGCTTCAGATATCTCTCAATAAAAGTTTTCTTTTTTATACATTGTCATGAATTAAATAAAGTAAAAAATTAATATGGTGTTGTAAACAAATTACCTGCAGATAAACGTTTTACGGATCTCAGTATCTTATTGCTTATTAAATTCTGAAGTATATTCAGCAATTTCCAACGTGAAATCTCCACTGACTTCTTTGCAAAAGTTGACAAGTTGATCCTAAAATTCATATGGAAATTCAGGGGACTCAGAATATCCAAAACAATCTTGAAGAACAAAATTGGAGGACTCAAGCATTCCAATTTCAAAACTTACTACAAAGCTACAGTAATGAAAACAGTGTGGTACTGGCATAAAGATAAACATACAGATCAATGGAATAGAATTGAGAGTCCAGAAATCCTTATCTTGATGGTCAATTGTTGTTTTTTTTCAGTAAGGGTACCAAGGCCATTCAATGGGGAAAAGAACGGGGTTTTTTTGACAAATGATGCTGGGACGACTGGATATCCACATGCAAAGAATGAAGTTCGACCCCTACCTCATACCAGGTGCAAAAGTTAACTCAATGGATCAAAGATCGAAATGTAAGAGGTAAAACTATAAGAGCCTTGGAAGGAAACATAGGAGTAAGTCTTTATGATCTGGATCTGGCAATGGTTTCTCAGATATGACACCAAAAGCAGAAGCAACAAAAGAGAAAAATAAATTGGACTTCATCAAAAGTTTAAACTGCTTCAAAGGACTCCCTCAAGAAAGTAAAAAGACTTACCGTATTTCCCCATGTATAAGATGCACCTTAATTTGGGGGCCCGAAATTTGAAAAAAAAATGCATTACATAAAGTTATTGAACTCAAGTTCTATTCATCATGAAATTCATACAACTCCTCATAACTGTCAAAACTCCCAACCATTAGCTTGTCCTCATCTGTGTCTGATGACGAATCACTATCTTCATATATTATTGCCTTGTCCTCAGTTCCATCTATGGCATTTCAAATGCCACACTTCTTAAATGACTTGACAATGATCTACAACCACTGTATAAGACGCACCCAGTTTTTAGACCCCAAATTTTTTGACAAAGGGTACATCTTATACATGGGGAAATACGGTACTTTCAGGAGCTGTCTTTCTTGCTGGCTTTCCTGAAATCTACCCCCACCGGGCATCCATACTTCATGGTTTTCACTTTCTACTACTGGGGTTGGCTTCTGCCTAACCCCAACTGTTTTTTGTTAGCCAATATATATTTTTTGAAATCTAAAGATATGTATCTCCTAGTTTGCAGAAAATAAAGTTTGTGAGATTAAAAAAAAATGTAAAAAGACAACTCACAGAATAGGAGAAAATATTTGCAAATCTTATGTCTGGTAAGGGACTTATATCGAAAATATATAAAGGACTCTTAATAATAAAAAGACAGCCTGATTTTTAAATGGGCAAAAGATCTGAATAGATATTTCTCCAAACAAGTACAAATGGCCAATAAACACAAAGATGCTTGGCATCATTAGTCATGGAGAAATGCAAATCAAAACCACAATGAGATATGACTTCGTATGCCCCAGGATGGCTATAATAAAAAAGACAGCTAATAACAAGTGTAGAGAAACTAGACCCCTCATACATTGCTGGTGGGCATGTAAGATGGTGCACTCTGGAATATCATCAGGCAGTTCCTCAAAAGGTTAACGTTACCATATGACGTAGCAATTCCACTCCTAGGTACACCAAGATAAATGAAAACAATTGTACACAATTATTCGTAGCAGCATTATTTATAATAGCCAAAAATGTGGAAACGATCCAAATGTCCATCAGTGGATAAATGGATAAATATTGGGTTGTCGGAAAAGTCATGATGTATTTTTTCTGGTTTTCGTTGCAAAAATGCATCATGACTTTCCCGACAACCCAATACAATGTGGTCTAGCCATACAATGGAATGATCTGCCATAAAAAGGAAGTTCTGACGCACGTTACAACATGAAGCAACCTTGAAAACGAAAGAAGCCAGACACAAAAGACCACATATTGTATGACTTCATTTACATGAAATTTCCAGAATAGGCTACAGAGACAGAAATAGATCAGTGGTTGCCTAGGGTTGAGGTGGGCCAGTGGGCTTGAGGATGATGGCTGATGGGTGTAGGGTTTCTTTTGGGGTGATGAAATTTTTCTAACATTGATTGTGATAATGGTTGCTCAACTCTGAATATACTAGAAGTCATTGAATTGTACCCTTTAAATGGGTGGAATTTGTATGATATGTGAACTTTATCACAGTTACAAAATAAAAATTTCCGACATGAACAATTATTTGGATAACCTTTATTTCTGCCTCAGACCAGGTCATTTTTTCCCCTTAACTTTCCTCCTGTGTCTGGAGCATGAATTTTAGAGGACATGAACTCAGGCTTTTCTCTGACAATGCAAGTTCATTCAACTTTCCCAATAAGGGTATCCAATCAGGCATTCTGTTCAAAATGCATTTGTCTGTGTGTTCTAAGACCAGAGGAGGATTTCCACCCTACCGCCTGCCCAACCCCCAGCCCCCAACCCTGAATTGCTTATACTTATTTGAGAGGAGATGGAGCAGGGAAAAGCGTTTTTCCAGGTTCAGGTATACAGCGTGGGGATTAGAAAGAGGCTGGGTTAAAAATGAAGCTGTTCTAAGCCCCAAAACACCAGGGAAGAGATTTGGGGCTTTTAGGGGGCTGCCCTCTTGGAAGATGGATGTGATGCCCAGGATCGCGTTAGTGTGAGTCCATTCACTCGGCTTGGCATTTGAAAACAGTCACTCAGCGCTGCCAGCAAAGGCCGCACTGGGTCAGGGCCAGGATAGTCTTGGATTGATGCCCCAGTCTCATTGGAGTCCCCCATCCTCTGATTCCACTCCCCTCAGCTCCTACTTTCAAATCCTCTCCTGCCCACCAGCAGCATGTCATCAGCCTCTCCCAGAGAAAGGCCGGAAAACAGGCTCCCCTATAAAGGATGAAAGAGACTTAGAGGGTCGCTTCTAGAGCTCTTTGCTTAATGAGCTTCTCCAGGAGGGGAAGGCCAGCCTCGTTCCAGGCCCCTCCCTTCCTTCCCTAAGAGCTCTCAGCAGCAGAAGCAGGCGGGTGTGTGTGTTGCAAGGCCAGAGGGCAGAGGTTGGAAGGTTGGGCTCATCAGGGGCATAGCCACATCGCCCTTCTTAGGAGAGGTAGGTCCTGACCACTTCGCATGAAGCATGGACTCTGCTAATGGGCCTCCTCCGTGTAGCCAGTGATAGCTCCTGGGCCAACTGTTTTCAGAGTGTGAAGCTTGTTGAAAAATGGTAGCCCCAGATAAAGAGAAATTCTCGTGTGTTCTGGTCATTTGGGGTTCCTAAATATAGGGAAACTTTGCTACTTGCATGTGCAGCCTGTCCTATGTACTCACCTAAATAGTGACCACAGACTGGGATAATTTGCCTGAATGGACTGCAGAATAGAGCTGTATGTCATGAGAGCTCTGGAACCCCGCAATCCCTGTGTGCATGGGGGTGAGAGCTCAGAGCAGGGGAGGTCCTCCTGCATGGGGGTTTGGTCATGTAAGTCTCCCAGGAGTCTGTGCTTTCCATCCACCGTACTGTACTCATCTCACCCCAAAACCTTGCACTCTGTGTACCCAGTGCTCTAAAGTCCTAAACAACCATGATTTAATGAAAACTTAGCTAGGAGAACCTGCAAGCTTGCTCCCCCTTTGCATTCAAAGCAAGGCTTTTTATACGCTATGTTCGTGTTTTAAATGTAGTAATGCAAAAGAATTTTCAATTTATCAGGGCTGCTTTGTGTTTCCCCTGGGACTGCACCTTTCACAGTGTCACTGAGACAAAAAAAAACAAAAAACAGAGCAGCAAATTACCCCTGCTAAAGCTTTTGTATGAAAATTGTTTTTAGGGACATTTTCTTTGTTCCTGTTTTCTTTGGCCCTGAGTGGGGAATATGTTCACTTTTTTTTTTTCATTGAACTTGGAAACTATATTTTGGAAAAAAGAAAAAGAAATATTCTCTGCTCAACTCTGCATTGAAAAGAGCTTGTAAAATACAGCCCCGTTCGTCACAGTGGCATGTCAGGGTTCCTCCGTGGGCTACTGTGCCCTCCACCCCCTGGCAGGCGCCAAGCTGAGGCAGGCATCAGGCACATTTGCTGACGCACTCCAGCAGCTCCATCCGGATGGCAATTCGGACGTGCCAGCCCAGCGGGATCAGCCGGATGAAGCGGGAAATGATGGGGGGGCGCAGCAGATTCTGGACTGTGGAGGTTCGGTCTGAGTTTCCGTAGAAGACCTAAAGAGAGGGGCAAAATCCTGTCACCTGTCACCATCATATCAGGGGAAGGAAAAGGAAGAATGATTCCTTTCTGGAGGTGGCTCCAACTTGTAACTGGAAAATCTCAGAAACTGGTCAAAGTACAAAGAATTAGGTGCCCCCAAAATCTGACTTTGGGGGCTGGCCGAGTGGCTCAGTTGGTTAAGAGCTCGCTCAAGAGTTTGAGCTTTGAGCAACAGCAGTTCGAGTCCAACCCGAGCTGAGCAGCCGCTGAGCTGCCAACAGGTAGCAGGATGGCTCAGCTTAAAAAAAAAAAAATCTGACTTTGGTTGCTAGCACCTATACACTCCAGGCATCTCTGAGTCTCTATATGGAAACATCTAGAACTGTAATGTCCAGTATGGTAGTCAGTAGCCACATGTGGCTATTTAAATTTAAATGAATTAAAATTAGGTTGCAGTTCACTTCCTCAGTCATACTAGCCACACACCGTTCAAGTTCTCAACAGCTAATGTGATCAGTGACTGCCATATTGGACACTGCAGATAGTAACATTTCCATCCTGGCAAAAAGTTCTACTGGATGGCTCTGATTAAAAAATGCCTCTTGATTCTTATCACCAATTTTGTGTTTTAATCCTTTGCATTTTGACAAGAATTTTGAAAAGGACCACATCGCGCAAGAGGGATGTTCCCATGTTCCAAAGGAACTGAAGTGGGGCTCAAGTAAAAAAATGTGAGCTGGCTCTGCAGTTGTGAGCCAAAGCTTAATTGTGTGTCTCTACACTGACACAAATGGCAAGTACTTTCTAGACTTGGAAATGGTTTTAAAAAGAAAAAGACAAAAACTAGAAGGAAGATTCTGGAAGGAAGAGGGCAGCGCCCAGAGTAGAGAGAAAAAGGGTGTGTTTTGTGGTTTTCGGGATATCACGTGGCACAATGCGGTGGCTGAAACATAAAAAGATGCCGTGGATGTCATTCTTTGCGCTCTCCAGAGTCGTCATTCTCTGCCTGGTGACGCCGGGACATTTCATTCCCTGCTGGTATTATCTTCAGAAAAAAATCTGACTGTCACGTTGGCCTCATCCACCCACAAAACAAGAAGGGCCTCCTATACTGTGATCTTACCTTTCTTCCCAATAACAATACCCCGCAGCCCCTTCTCTAAGCCATTTGCCCTGGAACCTATTCAAGCCAGGAGCCAGGTGAACAGGGAGGCTCAACAGCCTCCTCGAGATGGCACAAGTGCCCGGATGGAGTGCTGCTCTGCAAAGAACTGTCAAGGCCTTAGAAGCACAGACAGGGCTTAAAAAGAATGCTCCTATCTCTTTGGAAAGCCAATGAATAAGAACAGAAATATAATAAAATGTCCAAGTATCAAGATGGTTTTTCCTATTGTGTTCAAATTCCTTAAAATCTCAACCCATGAATAGTCTTGCTGTGTGTATTTTCATCAGAGAATACAAATTCTGACTTTCAGCTGCACATGTCTACTTAACCTGATTAGATGTCCAAAATAGCTGGGGGAAGTCCTCACTCTCAGGTGAAAGGACAGTTAACATTTCCAAGGAGCTAGTAAATTTTTTATTCATCATAAATACACATTATATTTTTTTGTGTATATATGTATATATTGTATTCTCAAGAGCCTACTGTGTTCAGTCTGTGGTAAATGAGACACATTTTGGTGCTCATATTAGTGGCATATAAAGTTGCCCAAATGTTTATAGGCCTCTGTCTGCCCTGCTGGAAACCACTTCCATAGTTTACTGGCTAGTTTGCTGGGTTGTCCCAAGCTTCCCAGCTGTCAGCCTCAATCATAGTAAGAAGAGGTGGTATCTACATCAATGGACCAGGACCTACCCGCATCAATAATAGATCAAGTCAGACCCATGCAGCAAAGTGTTCAGTGTTCCAGGGCGTTTGGAATAGTCCAAATGGCGGGCGCAACTATATGCTGATATGAGAATTCAGACAGATTTCTTTCGCACACAAGAATGGTACTCATTTGCAAACAAACTGCTAGGCACCAGGCATACAAGAAAGACAGCTGCCTTGTGGTCAGAGAGCAGGCCGTGACTCACCATGCCTTGGGGTGAATGCTTTGAGAGAGTGCAGGGACAGGAACACAGGGACAGTAGCAGGGGGAGAGTCCCAGAGGCTGTGAGCTTAAGGTGGTTTGGAGTACACCTGACTTACCCGGTTGTTTCCGGTCTGGTCCTTATAGTAAATCCAGTTCAGGCTCTCGTTGCTCCGGTACTGTACACTGTACTTGGTCATCCACTCATCAATGTCACAACGACCCTGGGTGAGTATCCCTGAAATCACCTTGACCTCCTTCAGATCTATCTGTAACCACTGGCTGCTGTCTTGGAACTTGGAGAGCCAAGAGCACCTGCCAAAGACACAGCGAATTACCAGGAGCCTTTCCCCATGAGTCTCCGAGGAGCCTGGAGACGCTGTCTTTTGAGGGGATGCCAACACCTGAAGAGCCCGGGCAGTCTGAGCTGCAATGTGCTAAGCACCCAGAGGCTTGTCTCCAAGAGGTGCCCAGCCTCTGTGATACTTGTATCATTCTCTCTTGCTGCACCTCCACCGCCATAGGAAAAATCGCCAGATTCAACTAATTTGTCAAAGAAATGCCTTCAAATGTAGCTGAAATCACCTTTGGGGCGCGGTTGAGCATGTCTTTCTTCAATGCACTGTTATCGCATCCACCAGCCCTCTTTCCTTTTCCTTAGTCTCTCCTAATGTTTCTTTCTCCGAGAATCTTTTAATTTCACTCTCTTCATACATATCTGCGTTTCCTTCGGGTGCTGTCATCCATAGCTTTCAGGGAGTGTCTGCCATGTGCAGAACATAGTTGAGTGGCTCTGGCAGGGCTTTTGACAGCAAACCAACCATTGAAGGAACTGATTTGGGTTTTTTAGCTATATCCTTCATAAATCGTGGAAACCTATAGCTTCCTTCCCCATATTTTTATATTGCATATTAATTAGCTTCTCAGGACTCGGCCCTTAGCTGCCTTCTCTTCTAATTCCGGACTTGCTCCTTGGGTGGCTCTGACTTTTTACTTCCACCCCAGACCTTTTCTAAATTCTAAATCCTGAGAATCAATTGCTGGCTAGGCAACTTCTCCCAGATGCCTTAAATGATGCCTCAAATGAAACATGTCCAAGACTCCCAATTATCCCCACCCCAACCCCTCCCTCTGGTACTCAACTCTGAAATTGACCTCTGTCCTTCCAGGTGTTCATGCCAGCGATCTGAAAGCCATCTGTGGTTCCTTCCTCAAATGGCCAATTCATTTATTGGTTCCAGCTCAAATATTTCTCAAAGCCATTTACTTCTCTCCATTTCACTGCCCCACTCTAGCCCTCAATTCTTGCCGGGACTGCCACTGTAGCTTAATTAGTCTCCCTGGATTACTCTTGTCCCCCAACTAAACAGCTCTCCTCACAGGAGCCAGAAGATTTTGTTTGTTTGTTTGTTTGTGTTGTTTTTTTTTTTTTAGCTGAGCCATCCTGCCACCTATTGGCAGCTCAGCAGCAGCTCAGCTCGGGCTGGGCATCAAACCGCTGTTGCTCAGAGCTCAAACTCTTGAGCGAGCTTTTAACCAACTGAACCACTCGGCCGGCCCAGAAGATTTTTTTTAACACAAATCTGATTGTGATACTCCCCAACTTCAAATCTTTTTCTGGCAGAGCCTGCTAATTGTCTCCCAATAGACTCTTCCCATCTTTCTTTAGTAATAAGAACCCCTGAGTTTTGTCTGGGCAAATGGCCACCCAGCTAAGATCACATTTCCCAGTCTCCCTTGCAGCTAAGTGAGGTCATCGGATGAAATTCTGGTGGATGGCATATGGGCAGAAGTGGCCAATAGGATTACATTTGTATCCTTAAAGGAAAAGTGTGTTCACTCTGCTCTTCTTTTCTCCCTACTGACTAGAATGTGGACGTGACAGTGGAAGCTAGAGCAGCCATCTTGGGCTCCAAGATGGAAGCTTCATGTTAAGGATGACAGAACAACAAGGTAGAAAGTGTCTGGACCCCTGATACCATCCAGCTGCCATAACAACCCTAGACTGCCTAATTGAACATTTGGGTGAGCAAGAAGTACACTTCTATGTAAGTCTCTGTACTTTGTGGCTCTTTGTTACAGCAGCATAAATAATAGTTTGTATTCTAACAATGCACGTTCAGGGTCCTCCATTATCCCTAAAATAAGGACCACACTCCTTAACATGATTTAAGAGGCCCTGCATGATCTGACTTCTGCCTGCCTCTCTAGACTTACCTCGCCTGTGCTCTAACCTTGCTGGCCTGCTTTACGGTCCCCATCCATGCCCTTGAGGGGTCTTCCCAACCCAGGGCCTTTGCACCTGCTGTGCCCTGTGCCCCTCTCATCTGGCCAACTGTCTCAGGTTAAATATCTTTTCCTTAGAAAGCCCTTCCTTGGTGCTTCAAATAAACCAGGTCTTTTTTTCCTTCTCCATCTCCTCCACAGCACGCATCACACTTACTAAACGATCAGTTGTGTGATTACGTGCTTAGAGTCCATCTCCCTTTCTAAACGGTGTGCTTCTAGAAGGCCAGGACCTCATCCATCTTGTTCCCTGCTGTATCCACAGTCATTGGCAAGTGGAAGGTACTCAATCAATATTTGTTGAGTAACTAAGAGCATTCTATGTCACTCATTTATTACAGAGACCTACTTTTTCAAATCACATGACAACAACAACAAAAAAAGTTGCCTGAGCCACCGGCCCTGCTTACCCAAAGCCTTGACTGTTGAGCCGGGCCTTGTTGGCGGTCCACGAGGAATACCAGGCCACATACTGCTCCGGGTTGGAGCAGGTGATCTGGTCTGGTGTAACCTCTCCTGATTCGAAACCCAGGGGCTTATGATAGGGGCATTCTGGGAAAGGAAAAAGAATGCTCATTAAAACATTCATATCCCATCACAATACTCAACAAACACAACATGACTGAAATGATGTTTGAAGTTGAAGTAAAGGGATTGCCATGGAGACTCACAACATTCGTATAAAGCAGAGGGAAGTGGTTCTTTGGCAACCTCATTGTGGGGGGAGGGGAGTTTTGAGAATACTTCACCTTCTCTACAAACTTAGAGACCTAAAAACCAAGAAGTTCACAGTGAAATATCATACTTAAATGTCATACTCTTTATTTTCCTCATTAACGCAGGTTTAACCATCCTGTGTGATGACATCAGGGTCCCCTCAGGCAGCATATGATGACAATTAAAGGACCAAAACCAATGTGAGAGGCAAGAAGGGCAATTATATATTGAGACTGACTTCCTACTTGTAAATTGCAGTTTTCTCACTAGTGTAATGAAAAATAAAAAAGGGTGAAATGTGCCTGAGTGACTGTTGAATAAGAAACAGTTGAAAGAAACTGCTTTTCCCAAATACGAATAGCCAAAGCTGATTCTTCTATGTTAATTGTCTGCTGCTTTGCACGTATTTCCTCTCGCATTTAGTGTTGTCTTACCTGGTCAGAGACTGCCAATTGCCAACTCAGTATCCATTCTCCCCTTCTTTTTGACTAGAGAGCCCTCATTTTGTTAGGGGCAGCAATGTGGCCAGCTAAAAAAAAATCTTTCCCAGCCTCTCTTGCAGTTAGAAGTGACCACATAACACAATTTCTGACCAGTGAGATATAAGAGGATGTCTGCTGGGGAATTCTGATCAGGTTTTGCTTGGCCCTTCTTCCTGTTGCCTAGAGGGAAGACCTGATGGCTGGTGCAACAGCAGCCATCTTGCGCCACCGGGGGTAGGTAAGACCAAGAGAACTGCAGGGACCTCATACCTGATATCCTTAAGCAACTCCCTGCCCCTAGTCTTTTTACCATGTGAGTCAAAACAAAGCTAATTCAATAAGCCACTATTTAGGGGGACTCTTATTTATAACCAAACTGAATTTCTATAGAAAACAATGATGAACTTATGCAAATACATTCTCCTAGTTTTCTGATTGTAAATGATAAACTTCAAGGAAGGTAGATCAAATTCTTTTTTTCCATGTGTAAATCTGAGTTCAGATAGGAGAGCTGAGCATATTTACTGGGGCACCGTTACCTTCAACAGTAAAATCAGTGCTGACGTCTTCGGAGAGAAGAATTGTCAGAGGTCAATGAAACTGAGTGAAGCATGCACAAACTTGACCGCCATCCTGAGGCGCCAGAATGCCTGAAGGGACAACTATGCCCTGTCCCCAGAGGCTGAAGACAAAAGGTCAGCTTCGGGGGAAGCGGGGGAAGCGGGGTGGG